TTTCTTTGCCAGTACCATGCTGTTTTTATCACAGTGGCTTTGTAGTATAGTTTTAAATTGGGAATTGTTACACCTGGTGCCATGTGTCTGTTGCCTAAAATGGCTTTTGCTATTCTAGGTCTCTTATGGTTCCAAATGAATTTTTGGATTTTTTTTCTAGTTCTGTGAAATATAGTGTTGGAATTTCAATTGGCATTGCATTGATTGCATATAGCAGTTTTGGTAGTATGGCCATTTTCACTATGTTGATTCTTCCTACCCAGGAGCAGGGGATATCTTTCCATTTTTTTATATCCTCTTCAATTTCTTTTTTCAGAGTGCTGTAGTTTTCAGTGTAGAAATCTTTTGTTTCTTTTGTTAGATTGATTCCTAGATACTTCATTTTTTTTGGATGCTATTGTAAAAGGAATTTTTCCCTTATTTTTCTCTCTGTGTGTCTGTTATTTGTGTATAAGAAGGCTATTGATTTTTGGGTATTCACCTTGTATCCAGATACTCTACTGAATCTGTCAATTAAGTCTAGAAGTTTTTTGGTGGAGTTTTTTGGATCTTCAATGTAGAGTATCATATCATCAGCAAATAATGATAGTTTAACTTCTTCCTTTCCTATCTTTATTGCTTTAATTTCTTTCTCTTGTCTAATTGCTGTGGCTAATGTTTCCAGAACTATATTGAAGAGAAGTGGTGATAGTGGGCATCCTTGTCTTGTTCCTGATTTTAACATGAAGGTTTTCAGTTTTTGGCCATTCAATATGATGTTGGCTGATGGTTTTTCATAAATAGCCTTTATTAAATTGAGGTATAGACCATCTATTCCAATTTTTTGCAGGGTTTTTATCATGAATGGGTGTTGAATTTTATCAAATGCTTTTTCTGCATCTATTGAGAGGATCATATGGTTTTTGTCCTTGACTTTGTTAATATAATGTATTACATTCACTGACTTTCGTATGTTGAACCACCCTTGCATCTCTGGAATAAATCCGACTTGGTCATGATGGATGATCTTCTTAATAATCCTCTGTATTCTGTTTGCTAGTATCTTATTAAGGATTTTTGCATCTATATTCATTAAGGAGATTGGTCTGTAGTTCTCCTTTTTGGTTGTATCTTTCTCTGGTTTGGGAATCAGAGTGATACTTGCTTCCAGGAATGAATTTGGAAGTATAGCTTCTCTTTCAATTTCATTGAAAAGTTTGAAGAGTAATGGTAGTAGTTCTTCTCTAAATGTCTTGTAAAATTCAGCAGTGAATCCATCAGGGCCTGGGCTTTTCTTTGTTGGTAAGTTTTTAATTACATTTTCAATTTCACTGATTGTGATTGGGGTGTTTAAAATGTTTTTATCTTCTTCGTTCAACTTTGGTAATTCATAAGTATCTAGAAATCTGTCCATTTCTTCTGTGTTTTCCATTTTATTAGAGTACAGGTTCTCAAAGTAGGTGTTCATGATCCTCTGGATTTCTTTCGGATCTGTTGTGACTTCGCCTTTTTCATTCCTAATTGCATGGATCTGAGCCTTTTCTTTCCTTTTTTTGATAAGATTAGCTAAGGGTTTGTCAATTTTATTTATTCTTTCAAAAAACCAGCTCTTTGTTTCATTTATTTTTTGTATCGTTTTCTTAATTTCAATTGCATTGATTTCTGCTCGGATCTTTATAATTTCCTCTCTTGTTCGAGCTTTGGGTTTTTCTTGCTCTTGTTTTTCTAGGAGTCTAAGTTTCATCGTTAAGTTGTTTATTTGAGCCCGCTCTGTTTTCCTAGTGTGGGCATTCAATGTTATGAATTTTCCACGTAGAACTGCTTTCATTGTGTCCCAAAGATTCCTGTATGTTGTATT